ATGGAGAAAAGATTAAAGTTGTCAGTTACTTCGTTTTAATTGGATCCACAGTCAGCCCCAGGGCAGTGATAGTGAAGAAATCAAAACATGTCTTGCCCGGGTAATGATGGGCAAGGTCCAGTGGTGATTAATTTTATAAAACATAATGCATGAGAATGATTTTATAAAACACAATGTGAATGAAGAATAGTGTGAAGCACAAAGTACATAAACTTTGTTAGTAAAGCAATTAAAAAAAATGAAAAATAGACGGTATACGAATGATTATATGAAATACAATGGAAATGAAAGATTGTATGAAACACAATACATATGGATGAAGCGTAATGTAAAGGAAATATATGAAAATCAATAAAAATATTTTTTTAAAAGTCTTGAATTGAGGAAACCTGCATTCACGGATCTCTGCAAAGTGCTAAAGAACAAGGATGTCTGTTTAAAGGCTCAGGTGCACCTGAACCAAGCTGCTTATGCATCTGAGAGTTGGGTAGTCACTAAGGATGATAAAACAATTGATACCTTTGAGTTGTGTTGGAGAAAATTGCTGCATGTCCCATTTACTGCCAAAAGAACAGATATGTCTTAGGTAAAGTGCATCCAGAGTGCTCCTTAGAGGCACAGATGGTGAAGCTTCGTCTCACATACTTTGGGCATATTGTTAGGAGAGGCTGTTCTTTGGAAAGGTAGAGGTCAGCAAAGGAGAGGAACATCCTCAAACTAGATGAATTGACACAGTGACTGCAGCACCGGTTCAAGTGTGTTGGAGATAATGAGGATGGCCCACGATAGGACAGGGTTCATATCTGTTGTTCATAGGGTTACTGTGAGTCATAATTGACTTGTTGGCACCTAACAACAACTAGATGAGGTTAAAAGTCATTGATGTAGAAAGATGGACATGACTCCCGAGAAAAAATATTAGAAGACTGTAACTGTATATTCTCATTTGAGGAAAAAGGTATATATATATGCCGAGATATATGTGGGTAATTTCAAGGTGGTCAAAATATGTTATTTTCCCTTATATTTTCCTATCTTCATTTTTAGTTTTCTACAGTGTGCATTGAGGATACTATGGACTGCTAGGAAAACAAACAGATTTGTCCTGGAAGGGGTTAAACTGGGTGGCTCCTTGGAGGCAAGGATTCTGAGGCTCCGTCTAACATACTTTGGACATGTTGTGAGGAGAGACCGGTCCTTGGAGAGGGACATCATGCTTGGGAGGGTAGAGGGACAGCGCAGGAGAGGAAGGCCCTCTATGAGGTGGATTGATTCAGTGACTGGGATAATTGGGATGGGAGTGTCAGAGACAGTGCGATTGGCACAGGACAGAGAGGAGTTTAGGGCTGTTGTACATAGGGTCACTATGAGTCGCAGGTGACTCGACGGCACATAACAACAACAACAGTGTGCATGTGTTACTTTTAAATTAATAATATTTTTGTTAAAAAAGTAAAGCTACAGCCTTAGGAGAGGTTTCCGATAAAACAAATAGTTCAAGCCCTGGGGCATTTTAATAGTAGGGATCAAGAAGACCATAAGGATCTGGCACAGGCGATAGAGGGAGCAACTAGTCAATATGACTTGAAACCCAGAAATATCAACTCATGGAGGTGTTTGATGGTGAGAGGGGTGAATTGCATGCTGCTCAGAAGAGGACTCAGGAATGAGGTCAGTGACAAAGACTTCTGGTGTTTAAAATATAGACTACAGTATTTGAATACATTAAATATTATGGAATACCTATTTGTACAAAATTCTATTCCATTATGCCAGCTATCCCATTATTGTTTCAAGGTCATTCTAGTAATATATTGATGGCCTTAACACATACATTTTCTGATACTGATTGCAGAGAATGGGGAAGGAAGTAAAGATACTGTATATGGACAGTTTTAGGGAGTTTTGGCATAAAAAAAATGGAATTGAGGTAAAGTTGATGTTTTTAAGATGGGAGAAATAATGGCACGTGGAGTTGCTGATGGGAGTACTGTGTAGAGGGGGAACTTGATACAGAGGAGAAGAGGGGAAAGTTTTTGTATCAGAGTAACGTCTAGTACTGTGGTATAGTTGCATCCTCACTCCAGTTTTACATAAAATTACCAAGAAGAATTTCATGAAACAACATATGAGCAAGAGCCTATGGTGATGAAAGAAGAAGTTCACGCTGCTCTGAAGGAAATGGCAAAAAATAAGGCTC